AAATACAATGCTCTCTTTCTCTCTGTGTCACATACCCACACCGAAAACATGCCATCGGCTGTAGAGTTTAATATTTTACTGCTTGTATGCAACAGATTAAAAAATAAAGCTCCACACAGATATTCAAGGGCCTACAACTAAAATGGCCAGCTGCTGTTGCTTTACTTGTGTTTTACTTTGTGAGATTGAAATGTCCTGAGTTTCAAGATCTAAAGAACTTTGTGAGGATTAAGATTTCAGGGGGTAATGCCAAATTATATTTACTTTTTGTGTTGTTGTTCTTGCTGGGTTTTTTTGTTTGTCCTGATGCTTTTCTTTTCTCTCTCCTCTATCAACTCACCCCAACCGGTCGGGGCAGAAGGCCGCCCACCTAGAGCTGAATTGAAAATGAACAGAGGAAGTAACAGAAGGAAATTCTCAACTAATACTCTGCCATTTACGAGAACTCTGACAGGCTTACATCATCTTTGAAGGTCATCTTTGAAGGTATGTTACCTTTACACAACCTTGTTCCTGGTGTGGCTTTAGGTAGGCGTGGTCAGACACTGACTTAAGTTTTATTCAAGTGATGTTTGCAACAGAGATCACATGTTCAAACAACAGGCACAATATTAACAGGCTTAACAAGAGTACCACTGCTACCATAACAAAGGCTATAGTCAATCAGCTTAGTCTGTCCTACTTAACAATGACCACTCTTCTGACTACTGCAACTACTGTACTAACATTACTTAACACAACAAAAAGAGAATAAATTCAGCGCATGTACAAGAAATAAGGGACTTTTCCTTTTCAGCTTTGCTACTGTTTTGCCCTATGTCTACTGCTATGTGCAACATGATCTTATCTGATGGTGGAGGGCTTTGTAACCAAGGGCGGTGGATATGAAAGGTCCAAGAGGGAGAGAAATGTCGACTGGGAGGTCTAGGTCTACGTCCATGAGCCAGTAACAAGGCCAACTTGGCCCTAAACCCTCAAAAGCCTCATGCTTTGTAACTGATTTATTTTAATCCACCATATTTTATGAGGCCACTAATATATCAACTATTACTAAATAATTTTATGAAAAAAAATTATATTAAAGACCCCAAAGACAACATTATTTTAGTTATCCAGAATCATGCTGTAGGTTTTGAAAGACTTCTTCAAAACTTGATGATGCTTTGCAACCAAAATTGCACCTATATTGAATGTGACATTATTTGAACACTGAAAAAGCTGTACACAAGCTGCCATGGCCACCATCACATAACACAGTAAACTGGTCATTTGTCCAACAGCACAACCAGAGTGGGAATTATTACAGCAGCCTTTGCGCATCCAGCGTTTCATTCTTGTCTCATCCAATGCTTCAATAAGCCAACAAGGAAACGTGCAGTCTTGAAAAAACTCATTAACAAGGCTTGTCTGTGCTGGGAACTACCCTGTATGCCGCACCCAAAAAAGACTCCAGTGTTTCTTTGAAAAGTATGAGCAGTAGCAGTTGTGAATAACCAGAGCAAACATAACAGAGATTAAACAAAAAATATGTGGCGACAATGAATATACTTGCTTTTAAGGAGGAAAAAGTTACTTATTAAAATAAAGGTGACAAAGCAATTACCAAAAGCTCAAAAATAAATAAATGTGGCAGCAGATCAAAGTATCAGTGGTCATTGATGGAAGCTTTCAACTTGTGATCTCATGATAATGTAAACTGAAGAAAAAAAAAACAGTCACAAGACGTTAATACACAGTACGCGCATGTGCTCTGTCTGGGTCACACTCTGGAGGAATTCATTCACTCATCTTTTTGGTTACTTCAAGTGAAACTCAAAGTCTTAACTGTGGTAAATTTTTGCCATTCTATGCTGTTGTAATACAAAAACAGACATGTCTCTTGTGAACTTTTCCCCCATAACAGTTCTAACTGTGCAATAGGTGGTGTAATAACCGCTTGTCCTTGATGGTCAATGTCAATACATTCACACAGGAAGGACTTATCAAGTGTAGTAGTGTGTGTCAGGGTTTCTTGTGTTGATAAAGTTATGAACTTTATTGCCTTTCCATTGATAAGTTTACTGTTTGGTAAAATCTCATCTCATCTCATTTTCTATACCGCTTAGTCCCAAACGGGTTCGCGGGGTTTGGTAAAATCATCTTTATAAAACACATTGCGTTGTTTTTTTTATGCTTCTAAAAACTAGAGAACAATTTTCTGATTATAGGAAAATTCACAGGCCTTAATGTAATGACTGAGTTATACATGCCATGGGAGTAAATGGAGCCTTGATGGGACTGAATGGGCCTCCATAGACTACAATGTATTCTTTAATAAATACACAGGAATCAGGAATGAGGTTATGCACAGTTGGTCAAAGTGCACTAGTCAGTGTTTTGAAATTTAAACTGAGTTTGCACTGTGTACAGTTGCTGTGTTGTTGTTATATATAATTAACAATGGGACTGAATAGGCCTCCATAGATCTTAATGTATTTTATAGCTCATAAACTGTACAGGTCACAGTCCTAGCATATTTCTAAGGCACCTTTCTACTGTGTACGCATATGATTGCAAGCGACACATGCAGACACATGCATTCTTCAGCCTTCAGACAAGCTCAAACTGTGAAATAGTCACATGGTAACGTTCCTGGATGCTTACTGATCCTGAATGGCAGCAGCAAGGCAAATAATGAGGCCAGTGCTAAACATAACCAAAGCATGAAACTGGATAGGATGGCCATTTCTTTTACTAAGCCTTTGGGTAGTATTATATTGATAGAGCAGCTACAGACACTGGTAATGTGGCTGGCCCCATTAAAGTAACTCCTATTTCTACTCAAAGTCTTTCAAATCTGGGAGAACACATTGTGATGAAATGATCATTTAAATATTAAAGAAAATTCATCTTGAAAGATGACACAGCAGTCCTAATAAGGGACGTATTGTTTTCAAAACCCAGCTGCAATGAGGGCTGCTCCCTGAAAACTCAGAGGAATGTTTAATTACATGTGACAGTTTTAAACAGCAGCATACTGTACCAGATAGCCACTCTGACACATGAAGATAAGAATATGGACAGATATTTCATAAGTACAAAACATGGCGGGTATTGTGTATTCATGTGTGAGTATGTTAAAATTAAATCTGTGGAATGTTTTGGACTTACTGTATGTCTCTGAACACCTCAGTGCTTACTCTGTAATGAGGAAGTGACCTTTCTGAAAGAGCTAAAGCCCTCACAAACGTACGCTTTCAATCAATTGAGCTGTGTGGATGATTCTGTGGGAGCCAAGGTGCTGATCACTTCTACTACTTAAAAGCAACTGGGATAAGCTCAGGCTGCCATTTGAGATATTTTTGTCTTTTGCATGACCAGAACAGCAAAAGCTTTTTACTTGCTTTGATTCCAGAAGCCATTAGGCTCATACAGTCATTTTAGAACAATCAGTTTACCTTGTATATAGGCTGATGTCTACTTGCACTTCTGATTTACAAAATGTTTTTTAACTCAGAATGGGGGGGTGGGGATCTTACTGTAAAACGTGTAAATGTGTGAATAGTTTTTTTGTTGCAGACCAGCAAACAGTAGCCTTTGGCTTAGGATACCCTTAACAGGAAAACAGTGTGATTCAGTCTTACATTTTATAAAGAAATGGGGTCACTTTTAATTGGATGGAAGCACCCTGTGAGATTTTCAATAAAGAGAAAGTATGAGTAATGGGTTGACCTACATGAGTTGACCTAAATCAGCTTTGATGCTGATGTATGCTGTCTGTGCACCTACAAAGTACTTTTGCATTACTGGATATTCCCAACTGATTTATTTATATCTTTACCACTGTGAATAATTTTCAGAGGACAAGGATCTTCATACAAGATGGGGTCACTCAAAGCTGCCAACATGATAAAGTGGGCCTTCTTTGCACATTAGCACTCGATTAGTTTCATCCAAGAAAAAAATGACAGGTACACAGTAAGTCTAACAATATGAAAAATGTAAAAGCAATGTTTTGCTTGTTATATTATGTCCTTGTCACTCCTTTAACATCCCATTTAGAAATCTTGTCTATACAAGACTGTGCTAAGAGCCTTTGTACTATCACATTTAGCCATCAGGCTTGCATTAAGGTAAATATGAACAAATAGGAAATGATAAACGTGATGATCAGTCTTGTCTGTGTGTGTTACAGTGGTTTCACACCTCTGATGCAACGGTCAACAATGCTACCTGTGATACACTCTGAGACATATGTGGACCTCGAAGATGTGACCTCTTTTTATTTTGTGGATCTGGGTCATCTCAAGTCTCACAATATTTACAGTATGTCCACCTGAATTTACAGGACAGTGGGTTAGTAGGTCACCCTCAGACAAACACTGCAAGACTTCACCTGATAAAATGGCACAGTGTACAATCTGTTGCATTTTATTGACTGAAACTTCAACCACCCCGTCTGTCTGGCAGTAATATTGTATTCTAATAGGTCTGGATTCATTATTAAAATGTTACAAATTACAGTGATAATACTGTCTATCAAGGTGTTGATCAGTATGTAACAAGAAAACAATGTTTTAGTGTCCTACAAGCACAAGCAGGCAGGTGGATCAGAATAATTAGGTTAATAACCAATACTACACAAAGACTATTCATCTGCTGAGCCAGATCAATTGTCGTGACCCATTTTTGTAGCCTTACAAAATTATTCGCTAAAGCATTCGACATCTCAGTGTCAGAAGCATCACTTGACAGTTGTCTTTTGATTGGATTACAACAAGGTAGCGTCAGTTCAGTAAGAGCATCATTAACTCGTGTTCATGGCAAAATGTAATTACAACAAACAGAAGAAATTTTAAAATTACTTGTATTATTGTTGTCTTGCACAGACTACCATAGGAGAACTGAGGCCGTTAGTCCTGCATTTAATAGTGGATATTCCCTTCGTATTCATGATTTACTGGCAAAACTACACATTTTCTCTTTGCTTTATAAAACTCAAGAACCAGACAAACACAGAATTACTTTGCTTCTCATTTTATTTTGAGCATATAGAACATCTGGATATAAACTATTTAAAATATGTGTAGGAGGACTTATCAGAGATAACTAATACATTCTATGACCGTGACAGGGGAATAGATGCATATGTGCCATCTCAAGCCAGCAGTGGTTTGAATAGTGTTATGCTATGCGCAAGCTGAGATAGGGTAGCTGAGGCCGCTGAAGTACGACTTCTCTCGCTCACTCATCAGCTCAAAGTGCAGCGGCTGCTGGCAGAACCTACACTCTGCTGATGAGTGGGGCTTCAGCTCCAGACCCACCTCCTTCCATGTGTGCACCAGCCTCTCTGAAGAGGGAAAGCAAAAAAAAAAGAGTGGAAGTCAATTTTATTTGACTTAAGTACCGTTAATAAAAACTACTTTGGAAACCACCAAAGAAATGGCTTAGATGAAAGGTTAAAAAAAGCAGAAAAACAAGTTTACCATATAAATTAAGCCCAAAGTTTGATATTAAATAAAACAAGAGTCACATAAAACTAGAAAACAAATCTCCAAATCAAAAGGAAAGTATCATGATCAATATTATAGGTTCAGCTGAAGCACATTAACAAGGCTACTACATAATCTTACCAACAAAGTATTTCATCATCTCAGGGGTGTGGTGGGGTGTTGGGGCAATACGCAGGAGCTCGTCTCCCCTGGCAACAGTGGGATAATTGATGGCCTGCACATAGATGTTGTGGCGACTCATCATGATGTCACACACTTCTGTGTTTTTCTCCGCATCTGACACCTACAAATAATTTAGACAATGATTATAATGGAGCCACTGGGGAGACAAACTAAGGACTTTTTTTAAATGTTTTTAAAGTGTAATGTGGCTGCGGCCATCTGTGAGTGTCGAATTTTGCATCAAAAGGCCAGAAATAAAATCATGAATTACCCGGACTGGGATGATGTGGCTGGGGCAGTGCACCACGGGCAGCCCCACGTCCATCAGCATCTGTCTGAGCAGCTTTACATTGCGCTGGTGTTTACGTCTTAGAGCGCGGCCTTCTTCCCCTTTGAGTACCTGGATGGACTGTCTGGCTCCAGCTAGCAGCATCGGTGGCAGAGAGGTGGTGAAGATGAAACCAGCAGCGTAGGAACGCACAGTGTCCACTAGGGCTGCCGTACTCGCGATGTAACCACCCACACAGCCGAAGGCCTTGCCTGGAAAAGGACAGGACACATTAATATGGTTATACTTTAAGTTGCTGCTATAGCTCTAGACACACAATTCTGCAGTCCACAGCCTAAGATTCACTACAATATGCCTAGTGTTCTATGCTGAACCCTGCCATTGTATTCTCACAACTTAGAATTTCCTGAAATGGCAGCTGCAGAGTACAGGAGCTGTAGAGCTCCCATTTAGAAAGAACTGTCCCCTCAGCCTGACAGCAACACACAGACACAGAGTAATTCAATGAGAGCGTAACAAGAGCCCATGGTCTCCTAGCAACAACAGAGCTGCTCAACCCTCTGGTATAATGGGTGACACAGCTGAGGCCTGATCCTGAGTGTGACAACAAATCAGAGAACAAGGAGATCCCTACTGTCTGGGAGTAGTTGTTTTGAGACATTAAAATATATGAATGAGGAATATAGCAAAATCTAAAATGAAAAGATAACTATACCAATACAACTACTAATGTTTCAAGAACATTTTTGTATGGATTAAGTTAAAATCCTTCATATAATATCAGTGATTTATTTTCTTTTTAGTAGAGATTAGATGCTGACCTAATGTCCCTGAGATGATATCCATCTTGTGCATGACGCCATCCCTGTCTCCGATGCCCCCGCCTCTGGCGCCATACAGGCCCACAGCATGAACCTCGTCTACAAAGGTGATGGCACCAAATTCATGGGCCACGTCACACATCTTCTCCAACGGACACACAGCACCTGAATAACAGAAAGAAGACAGAAGGAAATAAGGAAAAATTTCTGTAATAAACCAGTGTCAAGGAACAAATTAGGTAATTTTAGTCTCAACATCTATAAACTTGACGTTTAGCTTAATAGACAATGATATTCAAATAGCTCAGTCTGATCAAATGCTGCCTTTTAGCATGCAGAAAACCTGTAGTTCTAATTTACATTCCTTGGAAAACACTTCAAAACATCTTTTAAAACTCCTAATATTTTCATTTTGTAGAGCCACAAAATAAGTTCAATAAATAGGTTTTAAAAACATAATGAGGAGCAACACAAACTAACCATCCATGGAATGGACAGTCTCAAAGGCCACAATCTTCGGTTTAGTGGGGTCACCCTTTTGCAACAGCTCTCGCAGATGTGCCACATCATTGTGGCGGAAAACGAATTTCTTAGCACCGCTGTTCCTGATACCCTGAATCATTGAGGCATGGTTGCCTGCATCAGAGTAGATCTCACAACCTAAAATAATTCAGAGCAAAGACAGCATTGAGAATGAGAAATGATTTAAAATGACTGGATCAAAGTTATTAATTCACACATCAGTGACATTCATCTAATATATAAACCATTTGTAGTTATTTACCAGGCAGCATCTTGGCAAGGGTGAAGAGGGTGGAGTCGTTGGCTACAAAGCAGGAGGTGAAGAGCAGTGCAGCGTCCTTCTTGTGAAGGTCAGCCAGTTCTTGTTCCAGTTCTACATGGAATTTACTGGTCCCAGAGATGTTCCTGGTGCCTCCTGCCCCTGACCCGTGCTTTTGTAAAGTATCCCTGGAAACACAGGGCAAGAAAGACAAACAAAAATGTGTTTAATCTAGTATGTTTTTCCAGAATCACCACAGCACAGTTGTATACCCAATGTAAGTTTAAGGAGTAAAATAACTAACACACCTTAGATGAAGGTGTTACTGCTGCACAAGGGCAAGCTCAAACAAGTGGAAAAGAAAGAAGACAAACATAATAGCTTCACTGGTACCCATGTGGTTTAGGTGTAACCTCTTGCCAACTAACACCCACAGAAACAATTATCTGGATCACCAACTGGTGTCAGGTTGTTTTCAGTTAGTACATGGTGTGAATGATCTTTTCTGTTTCTCTCTCTCTCTGAACTCCCTGCACTCTCAGTGGGAGAAAAGGTAAAGAACAACCAGAGAAAGCGCTCTCATTACATGCAAACACATCTGAACACAAGAGACCTAATCAGGTGTAGTTCTTCCTACTCTACACACATAAATAAACAACCCCTCCAATACTCACGTGATAGACTGCACAACCCGAGGGTGTCGACTCATGCCCAGGTAGTCATTGCTGCACCACACAGATACCTCCCGCTTGTCCTCTAGAGAGCCCGTGAAGTCGTCGGCCATGGGGAACTCGTTGGCCAGACGATTCACCGTCTTAAACACACGGTATGTGTGGTCACTCTTCTTCTCTTCTATCTTCTTCTCGAAAAAATCATCGTAATGGAAGCGGGACACTGCCAGAACAGGAAGACAAGGCTTACTTAATGTGGCTCAATGCGGCTTACACCGTGGTGGTGAAGCAATTTCTAATGTGATGAAAGTCTCAGTTCATCTTACTCAAAGGCACTTAAACATACTGAAGGTTACTAAGGGGTGAAGTTGTTGCTAGTATGTTCATAGTCTTGGAAGGCAGTGTGGTAGCTTAACACCCTTGCCTTTCGACTTAATTTGGAAGTTCAGTGTCAATATTTTAGCATTTGTAAATGATGTCAAGATACCTAAATGAAACCTACCTCTGCCTGGCAGGCGGTCCTGAAGCAAATGGGAGATACTTTCAGGCCGCTGTTTTAGGAGGGTCTTCATTAGATTGATCTGCTCTCCTTTGCTTTCCTTAGCGATACTTGCCAAGGACGGCTTCTTCAGTTCATCAGGGGACACTTCTAAAAGGGTCAAGAAAGGAGACAACAAAATAGTAAGCAGTTCTGTACAAGACAAAGGGCGAAAACAGCCTAATCTAATCCACTTCTAAACAACTCTTACCTTTCTGGACAGTGCGGACCTCCTGAACATCCTCTTGGAACTCCATGCCAACCTGGCGGACCACATTGCTGTGTTTCTGGCCCATCTCAGCGGCCAGGAATGGGCACTTTGAAGCCACAGCCTGACCTGGGGCCAACACAGGGTGACCAGCAGGCAGCTTGGGCTCCACTTCCGGTTTGGGACCTGCAAGTGGACAAAGGAAGTTTTAGATTTAGGTTTCAGACACAACACTTACACAACAAATACATTTTGCAGCAATAATTTAATCATCAGATTAAAATATTTCACTTCATATAACATAGCTACAATTTTAATTTGGATGATTAGGTAAAAAAAAAAAAAAAATGTATTTACGCCTTCTTCATCACCCTCACCTGCACTGGCAGAAGTGTCCTCAGTCTTCTGGTGGGAGGAGGAGGAGGAGGAAAAGAGGGCCCGTGCCATTGATGGAGCCATAGGTTTTGAGGCCAGCTCCATCATGACAGGGCACTGCTGGGCATACACTGCCAGAACCTTTCTGGACTGCTGGAAGAAGGCCTGGGGCACACGTGCCAGGAATGGACAGCGACGCACAATTACATCCATAGTCAGCAGTGATGATGACTGTCCAGAGGTCTAATGGAGAGTTGAAACTCAAATTAAATGTGTGCTGTGGAAAGCTCAGATACTTATTGAAGACACATTACACCCCAAAACACAAAGGACCTTTTCCTCTTTTTCCTTTGAATGTAACCAGTACATCTCAACAGCTCGATGTGGTTTACACAGAGTGCCTTAGCAATAATGCACACATTTAAATAGATTTCTTTTTCCAAATGAGGCAGGCAACTGTTGGAAGTACACTGTTAGATAAATTGCTATCTATTAAAAAAATGTCTGTAGATTTCTTTTTGTAACTGTCATTTTATGGTTGATGTTGCCAAAACATCTGAAACTCTTTTTTGGAGACTCTTCTATGTCTTGTTATGTACGACCAACAGTCCAAAAACAGTTTTGGCTTTTGTGCTTAAAAACAGGATTATCAGTTTCTACTAATGACCCAAACATTTAGTTGCTGTTCTACATCTCTGTCAATATTAGTCTTCCCAAATTCATGTCACATACAATCGTATTTCTCTGAGAGGATGAAATGCCTTAGTTATTGCAGCAGGTGTCTGATAATGACATTACAATGAGCTTGTTATACACTGAGTTTTATTGCATAAGACAGAAAATTACAGATCCTACGTCAGTCCCTGCCACAGTTAACATTTCCCCCCAGCTGGACCCAGGTCACATTCCTCGACAAAGATAATCAATAACATGCCAAGAACGGCTATACACAAATTAAACTAACTTTTATTAAGTTTGACAGCTACATAAACAGCTTATGGTTTGTGATCATTTGGATCATATTTGCTGGTATTACACTTGACTGTTTCGTCAGTTTCTTCCAGTATCTAGTTGACGTTAGCCTATAATAACCCATACACTTTTTGTGACGAGATATAAACAGTAGCACTATTCGTTTGCAAGTGTTCATAAAGCGTTGACCCGTAAAACATTTAACGTTATGATTATTACACACATAGCGATAGTCGCGACTTGTCTGTCTCTAACATTAAATTATGATTGCAACATTTTGGAAAACCCTAAAACAAGACAGGTTGAGTAGATCTGGTCGTGATCTCCGCTGGTTGACCGGAGCCCAGGCTTAATGCTAGCTAGCTAAGAAGCTAAAACCAGAAGCGGAGACGATGCGGCTAAGATAACTAACAAACTTACCTTTTAAAAAAAGTTCAGATTAATAGTGCAACCCTCTTTATCAGTCGGGTAGTGGACAGGATAACCAGAGTGAAGATAATTTAATTCGATACTTTAAACAAACAGCTCGGTTTTAGAAAAAGTGAAGGACACCGGTATTTCGTTATCCTGCACTGAGGACGAACGAAAAGGACTTGGAGGTGCCAGGGCTTATAAAGCTTACACCGGAATGGAAGTCTCGCGAGATCATATTCGACAAAGGTCGTTTGAGTCAAGCAATCCACTCTGGTCAGACCATGGATGGTGTATGTAATGTAATAGTCCAGTGGCGCGTGTACCCGTAATCCTGTAAGCACTGTGCGTACATTTTTAAATGATTTTATAACATGTTTTAAAATGATTTTGCTCATGATGTACCCGTAATCCTGTAAGCCCCATGCGTACATTTTTAAATGATTTTAAAACATGTTTTAAAATGATTTTGCTCATGTTTTATGCCATAACGTGTGTTCTTGTGCGTACTATGAGATATAATCCTACAGGCGCCACAGAATACGCCCATGGATCAAACGCTCTCACCTCAAATGGCTCCGTGAATGTGGCAGCGATTCAGTCTGCAGTGGTAGAAGATGTACTGGAAATGCTTGCTAAATTAAAAACATACTACTATCACAGTGTACTCTATTAAAAGTAAAAGCCCACCTTCTCTATTATTCGGTGTAATCAGTAAACATGTACTAAATGGCTTATAACAGAATATAACGTATCTACTAAATAAAAACAACATTAAAAACAACTGACTCCTCCTATAGCACGCATAATTTGGAAGTTGGTGAATAAACAGATAGCCCAGTGAATGTCAATATAGTAAAACACAGTTGTAATAATATTAAACATGCTCAGTATTTGCCAACTCAATTAATTAATATCAATTAATATCAAAGTAACTTATGTCATATAAATGTAGTGAAGTAAAAACTATAATCTTTGTTTCTCAAGTGTAGTAAGTAGTCTATGGAAGTATACAAAACCATACCTAAAATCTGTACTTGAGTACAATAGGCTACTTGAATAAATCTGAGTTAAACCACTGTTTCTGTGTAGCAGCAGTTTTAAAGTACAATTACACTTGATACAGTATATGTTGCCTTTTATTACATACACTGCACATACAGTGTGTCAGTGGGAGACTGGATCTGAATCTCAAACTGGTCCTTCATGTGCTACATGCTTAACTTTGATAGAAGGTAGTGTCTCTGAATGGATACTGTCTTTGGTTTACATGGCATGAACTGTAACTTCATCTGAGGACTTAAAAGATTAGCCTGTGCTGCTACAGTAGAGATCCTCTTGAATTTTCCATGCACTTGTGACCTCTGGTGTTGAAACACAGACATTGAACTTAAACTAATTCTTAAACACAAACATTATAAACTCAGTATGCATTAAAAATATAGACTCAGTTGCCAGTTTATTTGGTCCATCCAACTAAAACCAAAGTGCTATTGATGTGCTATAAATTTGAAAAATGTTTAAACAGAGAAATACTAATTGAGAACAAACCTTTATTCGTATAACAATTTCCTTTGTTTATACAGCTCTGCACAAATATGCAGGCTGTAAATGAACAGTGGATTTAAAAATGTTTTGTACTTGTTTAGAAACTAATAAACAAATAAATACACCTAGCTTCCTATTTGCAAAACATAGGTTTAGTCAGATGCATCTGTCGACTGCAGAAAGAAAAGGTAATCTAATTTAGCACATCTTAAACAAGTGTCTCCAAATTTCTGTGGCATCTGATGCGGTTTCTTCAGACCTTTCATAAAGTAACCCTTTTGCTTGGACAGTCGTAGAGGTTTGCTGCCCCCTACAGAGCTTTTTAGGCTATTGCACTGTTTGCAAGAAGGCTTTACCTGCAGGATTGTGTCATGACTGGTTCATTCAGACTGAACCTTTTCCCCACTGTGACAGGCAAAATGGAGGGTTTAGCTAGTCAATATAACAGTGGTCCAGACACAGACAAATTCAACATATATACATAACCTACATTTTATTCTGTTTTATTTAGTACACATTGGAGGCTACTATACTGGAGTCTTATTCCTTGTATTTTAACATACTTGGCAATAATGATTATGATTGATTAATTGAGGTCTTATGTTTATACATGTTGACTTGATAATTTAACTCTTTTATTAGTCTTTTTGTAACATTGCATTTTTACGTTTGAGCCTGGCAAAACCTTTAATTAGCTTTTGTTTTGAGAGTAGGGTGAAAGTTCATCAGTCAGCGGGGCCTTACATGCAGAAATTAAATGAAAATTATTTCTAACTTTTTGATCATTTAGGTTTAAGTGTGTGCATATAATCTTTATGGTCAAATTATGTTCTTTGAAAAATTATGAGAATGATTGTATTATGGAAAACAATGTTTTAACAAATTGATGTAAAACTAATGTAACGTGGGATTATGCTTTAATGTCTGTGTGCGAAGAGAGAAGAGCTAAAAAGTAGCAGAAAGGTCAGCTAGGCAGATATTTAGACTAGGAAGAACGAGCCTTGATAAGAGTGGAATGTGGTCATGGCAACGAGTGAAAACATCAGCTCAAGGCCACAACAGATGGATGCAGGAGTCAGGCGACACAATGGATACTGTCCTTGGAAACTGTCTTTAAATATCCTTTGGTTTTGCCAGTCAGACTAACTAATAATAATAATTACATTCCCTTTTGTAAGTATTTACTTACTTGCAAATTTTTCAGCATCATCTTTTTTTGACTCCAAGTTGTTAAATGCATGCTTGACAGAAATGCACATTGACTTATGAACAATCGTGAAAATTCAATGACCAAAGATACATATTTATTCAATTCAGCAGAACACGTTTTTAACAGTTTAAAAGTCATGTACATGCATTCTCCAAGTAGCATCAATGACAATTACTCTTGGACAAGAAACACAGATGGAACACTAAATCTCCGCCGATATGTTTTTCACAAAGAATATCAATGACTATAATCCATATACAAACATAAACCACTCTAAAGTCACTATGAAGAATCAACACTGGTCAAAGAACTGAACGAGAATTACAACATAAGAGAGAGAACAGCTTTCAGACACAGGTAAGAAACACAGATCTGGTCTGTAAGAAACACATGCACATGCCTCACAAAACAACTTTTTTTTGTGCAAATTACAAAAATATGTGACGACATTAATCCCCTTTCATTAGATGGCATGTGGTCTTTCAGTGTACTAATGAGCCACAGCATAATGTGGCTAAAAAAACATTCTGAAACCTGTACCCGCGATACTCACACACACTTTGAATATGACTGCTATTATTTACTGTGACCACAACCAGTGTCTCGGCAAAGGAAGCTGAAAAGTCTGGCATTTCACACAGGGTGGCTTAAAAAGTCAATGTCTGGCATGTCACTTTTACTGCACTCCATTTCAGTAGGCTCAACAGAAAAAGGTCACTTAATTAAAACTATCTTCAAGTAATTTCAGTCAGCAGAAAGCATAACTGATGACTTTGTCGCAGAAAAACAAGAAAGAAAGCAGAGGAGCGCAAAGAAGGCTTTTGTTTAGTTTTTAGATACAAGCAATAAATGACATTTACGGTTACACTGGGTCTATATAATAAAAGCAGTTGTGATTATGAGAAATTCATGATTTGAAATAATACTGTATAAAAAAAACGATCTTAAAGATTCATAACATGCATGTTTTGGTTTGGTTTGCTATTAAAAGAACTCATTTTGAAAAGGCTACACAATGTTGGATACGTCAGACTGCAAAACAACATCAACAAAGGTACAAGTAACACAGCATTAACAAACAAATAGATCCAACACTCATAAGAAACCAGAAGATGAAAATTCAATGTTGTCATTGAGATGCACACGTAAGTTTGAGGAAGGCACACTTGTTTCTTGCATTTTCTTTCAGGTATTTTTTTGTGGACTCATCTATGTGAATGTTTGGTTGACTGATAAGAAATTAATCTCCTTTGGTTACAATCATTCAAAGCTGCCAAAGTGAGATGGGCAAATGAAAACAATGAATGCAAAGAACCTGAGAAATACAAAAAAAAAAAACAACTTTGTGCCATCTGACATGTACATAGACACATAAAGCTTTAAATAGAAAGCAAACTTTCCCCATGTGGAAGGCTCATTTAGTTGAATTGGTATGATGAATTTGTGTGTATTTCCATCATAAATCCTCTGGTGAGAAATATTACACATTTTGGTTTGTTTCCAGGTAACAGGTACAACACATACTATATAAACCATTATACACCAAAGACAAAGAACAAGACAGCGTATATGAAAAAAAAGGCGTTTTTCAAAGCACTTTATCGGTCTGAAGTAAACTGACTGGAAAGAGAGCAATGAGATTATGGCCAAGATCACCAAATCTCCAAAGACTGACCACTGAGTCTGACTGCATTCACTGTAGATGACGAATGAAAGAGGTCAGGCAGGTTGAACCAATGCACAGCATTATTAACAAGGAGTAGGAAGATGTTGAGGCAGGCTCAAAAGGCTGGACATGTCAAACAAAGCACATCAGCTACCTTTCTTTAAAATCATATTCTGTGGCATCTTATTTAACTCACCAAAACAAAGCCATTAAGAAGTGTAAAAACACACACAAACAATCTCACCACTTGTATATTCTAAGTCCATTCAATTCCATCCAAGCAGTATCGACATTCTCACTTCTTCTCAACTCTTCTACAGAACAGATGCATTTCAAATATTTAATCAACAAAGCCTGTGAATCAAGACACTCAAGGACACCTCTCCTCTTGATTCAGATTACACAGCTCTGGTTCTGCCAAGTTCAAAAATGTTGCAGCATGTTTAAGGTGTCTGAGGGTGTGGCACTGTGGTCCATTATCCAGGCTAAGGATGTGGTGCAACATATTCCGGGTTGTACGCAGGCTGGGCTAGGTAGTCTGTGTGCATGGGTGGAGCACTGGACTGCGGTTGGACAGGAGGCTGTGGAGGATACGCTGGATGGCCAGGGGTGAACGCAGCATGGCTGTAAGGCATTGGGTTTGGGGGGTAGCCAGGAACTGCTGGATACAGAAAGAAAACATGGCAAGAAGAAAGGGCTGAAAATCCTTAGAGAGCCTAGAGAGTAACCATGCTTTAGTTTTGTCTTGCAAAGTAAACATACATGTTTCACTTCTTCTTTTTCAAAATCTGGAAATGCTCCAACTGTAAACCAGTGGCAGTTATGCCACTTCCGATTGCAGCTACCCTGAATAACCAGAAATTGCACAATGTGTTCCCTGTAATGTGTCATTACTTAAAGTTAAAGGGTGCTCTGTGGTTGTAAAAAAAAAACCTCTATGCAATTGTCAACTTAGAGTAATGATATGTTATTCCTAAAAATACTAGGACCACCATTTCTGTCCATTCCCTGCAAATCTGTTTGAGAAATGCAGTGCTATAAAAATCGGTTTAAGTACACAGGCTGTTATAAAAAAAAGGTTTTAACTCAAGTTGGGAACAAAAAAAACTCGAGTTTATCTCGCTGTTTGTTTTAGGTACTGACTAAGTGTAAAGGGTGTTAGAACAAATTAAAACTACACCATTTTCTACAGCAGAAAAGCCAAGATATATGTTCTTTTTCTTTTATTTTTGAAAGAGTTTTTCTTTGAACGTAGAGTAAGAAGTCAGCATTTATCTTTATCATGGCTTTGGTTGATGTGGATAATACTGTTAAGATGCTGTAAAGAGGGAATTCCTTGACTGTTGTCTGATGTGACTTACTGGCTTCTTGATATGTTGGAGGTGGTCCTGGTGTGAACGGCTGTGCTGGGTAGGGCAGTGCAGGCATGGGTTGGGCACCATATCCCGGCTGCACTGGTACAGGCTGGTAGGGCGGATACTGGACTGCCTGGTAACCCTGAGGATGCCCTGGTGCTGCAGTTGGCTGCTGAGGGTACCGCTGCTGATTGGTGGTGACCACTGTGGTGTGGGTGGTGGTTGCAATCACAGCTGTCAGCAAACAGAACAAAGAAATATTTAATGCAAGCTAGGTAGAGATTCAATCATAGTTTCAGATGAAGGGGGAGTATAGCTGTGGGAGAAATTGTTCAGCAGTAATAAGAAATAACTAAAATGACTAAAGTAGCAGAAAAAAACAAAAATGAAATCTTACAAAAGTTTGGTAAACAGTGGTAAAGCCTGACTGACATTTCAATTAACAGCAATATTAAACTGCCTCAGATGTCACCAGGTTAACCATAATTTATTTTCAGAACATAAGCACCACCTCCAACACAGACTAATACACTCAGCTGGCAGTTTATTAGGTACACGCACCTAAAAACTGATGTACAGCAATACACCAGTCCTGCAGTAAATTGTTCCCTCATGAAAATGACAATGTTCAGACTGTTTCTGTTGATGTAACTGTACGGCTGCGCTCACCAGAGACTACTGGACTTATGCATTTAATTTGAATTACTGCTGGGCAGCTTGTGAATTGTCCACCATAGATCATTGAGGTCTTATAATTATACTGTATTTTTGTATTAATTTGGTTCTGAGAAGTAAAGTTATAAAATAAATGTAGTGGAGTAAAAAGTACAATACTTGCCTCTAAAATGTAGTGAAGTCAAAGTATGAACAGAAAATGAAAATACTCAAGTACAGATACCTCTGAAGTACCTGAGTAAATATACTTGTTACTTTCCACCACTGTTTGTTTTAGAACCGATTTAAAAAGTGTGATTAATTTGTGATTTTTCACAAGATAACTATGGACAATCAAGCAGTTAATCGTAAAGAAATATTTTAATTGTTTGACAGCACTAGTTATAACCAAATAACGCAAAAAAAAAAAAAAAGAGAAGCTCAGATTTCACACATTTGCCTATTTACTCCAAAAATATGCATCAAGACTTAACTCACCCCACAACTTCTGCATTTGTCCAGCTTTCCATCATCATTTCTGCATTTAACTAATGCAAGTCAAAAAGCTGCTAAAAATGGTTCTGTCTAACAAATGGAATTAAATTTGGTGGCAGTTTTTGCATGGAAGTCTTATATTTACACTGGAGGATGATATGGGGACTCAAGGAAATACTTTAGACTGGGGAAATGATTCATAGTCAAAGCTGAGGCAGTAAAGGACACGGTTCTTTTTAATAAAGATATATCATCATCTATTATAAAAGTTTGATGTTATGACACTGATACACACTGTGATTCCATGTTTTAGCCTATAATTGCTTACATTTTGGCAACCTGATGTACTGTACCATTACACGTATTAGCTATTAGCAGTGCTGGTGTGCATTATGGATGGTTGTACAGTCAATTGTCGCTTGACTGCTCCGATGCTGAAGAGAACTTAAAAAAGTGATGACTGAAACAGGATGTGAAACTACAAGGAGCATATTTTTTCCCCCTATGATTTTTAAGTGGATTTACAGACATTTATTTGGGGCAGAAAGTCCAAGTCACACTTTGTCTAAATCATGTCTGTGTGCTCAGACTTTACTGACTTATGTCTCGGAACGAAGGAAGTAAAGGGGTGCACCTCTGCATTATACAAATATTTTAACTGATTTCCTATTTTTACTACCATTGTTACAGAAATGCTACTTGCTAGACTGATAAATACAGAAGAACTCTACAACCTTGCAGGGTAATGTTTCTACTTCAAGTGTAAACCTGTCATTATGAAAAAGTTTGGTGAAATTGAAAGACAGCACTGTTTTGATAAAGAAACAGATGGGTGTGGCTGTAGGTGTGTGTGCATGCTTTTATTATACTGTATGGACAAATTTTTATTAGATGCCAGATTGTGAGGATACTGTAACTGGTCCTCACAAACATTTTTCACCCACCCATTTTTCCTTTCACACAAGGGGGAGACATCATGATTACTTCCTAGAAATGACGTGAGATGGTCTTGAGATTTCCCCACTGTGGTTGTTCTGGAAACAATGAGTCATCCAAGACAGAGCTCTTACATTCCTGGATGTGATCCCAACATGTAGCAGCCCGAGTCAGGGCATCCGCATTCTTGCTTGTGTTTTAAGCCTACCACTGCTCTCTGACAGAGTTTAATCACTGTGTGGCAAAAGCTGAGCAAAGCTGGCTAAACTGACAGGAAGTGCAAGAATATCTGCCATTAACAACAGAGCACATGCTTGAGTGCAAACGCAACACACATTATTGTTCTGGGCCATCTAACCGACTCTGCTTATCATTTTATGGTCGAAGCTCTGCAGTATGAAATTCTTCTTTTAGTCTACTGTTTTCTATGATTGAAATTTGCCCAAACATGAACTGAAATAAGCAGCATTATATGAGAAGGGACATGAATTACACCATGATGAAATCTCCCAAAACACATCTCCTCATAAAAAGGTGGCATCCATCAAGTTGAAACAAAGGATTTATACCAAGTTTGTTAGAGTTTTGTTCACTGAAACACACATAAGCAGCAAACCTCACAGAAAACAGTAAGGGAGGTTTAAGATACACAAATATTCATGCATGAAGCTTGTTGCCTTTGTTTAATACTCAGTAATGAATGAAATCTGGCGGACAGGAGGCAGGAGCGTTTATAGACAGACAGCACAGCTTGTGTTTACACCTGTAACACAGACTGTCTGCTTTGATTCTATCGAAATGTTCGTAACCATGGGTGTTAGTGTAAGTGATACAAGTAAAGCTGTATGTAGTACTTACAGGGCTACTATGTTAATATTACAAGCAACAAAAAACTAAATGAATAAAAACTTTATCATGGCTTGAAGAATAAATCTGGTGAAATTCTGTATTTTTGTTATGGTAAACAAATTCCACAAAAAGACCAAAACTGAAGCATTTTTTTTAAATGGGTCACAGGTAAATACTTTCATTTGAAAAAGTCAAATTATTTACTTTAAGCAGCTGGATACTGGAGTTTTTTTTTTTCTTTGCCAACTATAAAACCACTGATGCCAATCTGAGAAGCATCTCAGCACTGACATTTGCATGTACAGAAAACTTCATCTATCCTATAATTCACATTACTGAAAATAAATAGGCAAAAGAGTAAGAACATCCTTCTGGTGGTGGAATTACACTAGTTGGCATAACCTGCAAAACAGCAATTACCTTTAATGACTATACTGTGGCCTCAACCAGTACTATACACTGCTCACCACAGAAGCCAAGTGAAACTTTGTGCAGCATCACAAATAATGACAAACACAAATGTCAAATGAGGACTTTCACAGTTTTGGACACAGTATCTCCTTGTTACTGTTGTCAGAGCCACATATCGCTTGCATATCACTAACTTTGGTAGCATTAGACCAGTTTGTGCCCTGTGTCCACATGTCTGTGGTATTAGTAACACCAAACAAGTGCAGTAATGAAAGTCATGTGGTGGGTGGACCAACCATCAAATGAGTCACCTGATGTTGTGCTCTGAAAATAGACACAATACTCCCCCAACACAAAGGAAACCAAGAGTCTGAGTTCTTCTTTTAAGCAAAGAAAAAAAATTGACACTATCTACGTAGGTCGAGGTGCTATCAACCGTGCTAGCAACTCAGTGTGGCTCCTGGCAGGAAGCCTGCACATATACAGCGACATGTTGCAGAAGCAACAGCACATGCCTACAGAAGCACAAGGTGTTCATCAAAAAATAAAAATAAAAAATAAAAAAAGGTGGCTCTTATCTCGCAATTATGACTCGCTATCTCATAATTATGAGATAATGCAGGAGTTGAAACGCTGCAGAACTTGCCTGCAAATCATCAGAGTTATTCAGTGATAGTTGTCAGTATATCCAATAATGCCTAGCAAAAATGAACTGTTATAACAAATTCCGCATATTTAGTGTTCCAAAACATAAACAAATATAGAGGGGCCTCAAAGTTGCTGCCACTCTCTATAGGGCTATACGTGCACTGAGCAGGAGCTGGAAAGCTTCAGAACCTGTTTGAGAAGTATTGAGTTTTTAAGATTTCTTCTGTAGTCTTATGTAATTCTGACGATAGGCTGCAAAATTAACTGCTAATAGCTGATTTGGTGTATTTAGTGCTCCCAAATCTAAACAAATTTAGCCTAGGCTAAAAATAGTGCCCATATTGTAACATTGTATCCATGGCAACATCACATAGCCTACTTCCTGTGTCTTGTTGAAGTTTATATCTGTTCACATGATGACTATTAACATTTAATGCTTTGTCATATTGCCTATTACAAGATCCAGAGATCAGGATCTTGTAATAGGCTGTTATTGTTGCTGATTAAGACGATGGAGGTGTTATAGGCTGCCCGACTTAACTGTCTAGATCCCCTTATCCTAGATCCAATAGACTATTGGGTTATCTACATAATGAAAGTGGGCAGCAAATCTGATCACAGCCAGTTTCCTTCTCATACTGGAAACATGAAGGCAGTGAAACTCTTGGAGAGAAAACCAGCTGCCAGTTCTGCATCACCACCACCAACAGACTATTCACTCTTATGTGGAAGGGCTACTTACGTCGGGGCTTGCGGCACATCTTGTACAGGCAGCAGCAGGGACAGATGCAGCAAATGATGATGATGAGCAAAATGAAGAGAAGAGGACCAAGGATTAAAGGTAATTGTAATCTAGGATCTGGGTAACTACTGGGAGATAAGGTGTCACTGAAAAAGAAACAAACAAAAAACATTATTGAAAACAACTGCCATGTTGCTATTGCCTTACTAGTGCAGAACAGCAGACAAGAAAACTGAATTATGCCAAACCAGGGCTTCAGGATTCACAAAGATACATTTAAAACATTTTAATACAACACAGAATGAAATTTAATACCAGTTTCACAATTGTTCTAGCCAAAGTATGATGGGAAACCAGTAAAAACTATAATATATAATATTTTTCAGTTTTTCCTAATAACATAAACACAACCTGGACCCAAAGAAGCAGCAGAACATAGATGACTATACAGTATTAACTAATTAAAATGATTAATACATTTAGGTTTTTAACTAAAAGCAAACTGTGGCTGGCTCAGACAAAGAGCTTCACACTGGTGGTCGAGCTCAGCAAGAAGCATTTCCCGTTTCCTGACTATAAAAATAGCTTCATATTTGAGCTTCAACAATCTCAAAAAGAACCCACTCAGGTCCGTCTCATCACACAGCATGGACAATTACATCTCAGGCAACAATGTCAACAGCAGTTAGAGACATTTCACTGCCTATTACAGAATAAAAGAGAACTGAATACCACTGAGTCTGTTCATCCTCAGAAAACTGCATGAAGTTGTTAACACAGCAGTATCTTCTGGTGCAGCTACCACAGCAAAACGAATATGGACATTCCTTGGATGAATGGTAAGTTCCGAATTCATCTCTGTAGGATTTACAGTCATTGTCGTCCCCTGGTGAAACAGAGCAGAGAAAGAAAGCAGAGACAGACAGGGAGGGTTAGCCTTGTTACCACTGAAGACAAAGCTGTAGTGGTGACTTACCTGTCAGAGATTGGTACAGTAGGAGGAAAACATGAGATGGATGAAACAGCCACATGCCTCAACCCACTTAAAAAAAGCATCACTGCTAATTTTAGTATTTTATCTAGACTGTCAAGGTCGAGGACAGTCCAGTAAAACTGAAACAATTACTCAATTCTTCAGTTTGCTGATGTATAAAAACATAAAGCAAACTATTTTAAAATCAACTAATAGCTTTTTAAAAATTCTCATACAAAAATGGCAAACATTCTTTACGTTCATACTCTCCAGTGGGAGGATTTGCAACTTTTCTTTATTCTCTATGTTAATAAAGTGAATCTCTTTGGGTTTTGGACTACTGGACAGAAAGAGAAGGTAATGTGAATATGTTGTCTTTGACTCTGGGAAAAGAAAGTGGGCATTTTTCACTATTTTCTGACGGTTTCTGAAAGTAACACGATGAAAAAACTGTTCCAACGGGTGTGTGATAAATTTAATGAAGGCTGAATGCTGTTGAGAGGTGCTGATTCAACATGATTGTCACTTTGGAGACTGTAGTTTGTGCTGCTGCTGAACTGTTCAGCTGCCAGCTTATTAGGTACAGTTAGCGAAAACTAATAATACTACTACTGTTAGAAATTAATAAATCAGTCAGATAATTATTAGACTTTAATATGTGTTAGTAATGCAGTTTAGTAAGATTCAACGTCTGCTCCTGTGTGCTCTGCTTCAAGGTTAGCAGCAAGCCATGACACCGACTGTTTTCTTGTATTAATCTTGTGTAAGAATTATGTCTGAATGAATGTTTAGTTACACATCACGCATACAACATGGAATTCTTCATTTTGTTATGTCCAGCTGCTCCAAGCATGCGGAGCTCTAGATAATAGAAGGAGACGTCAGACTGTCTCCAGCTCCTGATGTTTTTACAGCTGTCTGTGTTAAGGGGTTAACCCAAAACTGATAAATGTATTAGGCTCTGTGTTTCCTGGGGCCTTTTTCCCTGCTCTCTTCTCCAGCAGCTTGTCTGAAGGAGGGAGCCCTGGGTTGTGTTCTGTAAACCCAACTGAGAATAGACTAAATAGAAATATCTCAGTTCAACGTAACAAACTACAGCCTCCAAATGACCAAAGAGTTTAACAGTTTCTAAAAACACATTAAAACTAAATTTAATATTCACTGAGGTAGAGGTTATTTCATGTCTCTTGCATATGACTGCATTAGGTTTAGCTTGTTTAGCTTGTAATAAACTAGCAAATGACTGCATATTAGCGAGGGTAACAGCGATATAATATTAAAAACAAATGAATCGTTATTTTTAACTTTAAATATACAAGCACGGTCAGATTATGAGACAATGGGCGCCTGGACAGACATGTAAAGGCCTGTCACCCTTGCTACGGACAAGACACCCAGACTGTAGATTTGCGTCAGTTAATGTTTATTTTAGGTCTTCCTGTACGTTAAATTTGTGGCTGTGTATCATGGTGTTTGCTTTGTTAAAAATACTGACTTAAAGTCACACAAACAGGGAGTGAATAGGGTTTATTTCCCATTAGCTAGCTGAGACTATCTAATGTTAAAACTGTCTCAACAACAAACGTTAACCAAGTTAATCCAGCTCCGGGTGGCAAAGCTAACGTCACATCGTGACATCGCCCAAGATGTGTGTTATCACTGTTAGCATGTCGATGTGAGCAAACAGATAATGAAACGACGCCAACAAGAATGCGAGAAAGAGCAAGGAGTTTACAGTTTTTAAAAAATCAAGCTTACCAGATACGCAGGGCGACAGGAGCACACATAAAGCCACCACAAGAACACCGGACAGGCCGGACACCATGGCTACTTCAGGATTCAGACAGGAAAAGTGGGAATCCCTCCTGAAAGAGGTCTGGTTTGAGCGGCTGCTCCTGCGAAGACCGTCTCCAGACTGAAACGCCTAGCACAGTCGCAGTTACGTCTACTGTCTTACATCAGTTAAAGAGTCGCCTACTTCGTCTTCGTCTTCTTCTTCTTCTTCTTCTTCTTCTAATCTTTTTGCGGTTGGCAAGCAACATGAGGTTACCGCCACCTTGTGAATAGGAGTGTGGGTCAAGACAACCTATCTACCAAACTCAAATTCCTGTAATTAATCCAGTATCTATAGTTGTTTTTGGCGGCCTGTTTTCATTTTAGTTTTAGTCTAGTCTTTGTGTGAAGCTGTCATTTTAGTTTTTATTAGTTTTAGTCAATTCATACTCTTTTTAGTCTAGTCTAGTTTTAGTCGACGAAAACTGATGACATTTTAGTCTAGTTTTAGTGAATGAAAATTGTATTTTAGTCTCTCTTTAGTAATGCAATTCTATTTAACCCAGTGTATAGAGTATAAGTACCTAGTAGTAAAGATGAAACCAAACGTTTCTTTTAGTCAAACCCATTTCAAACAAGGTTATCTTTTTCAAACAAGGTTATCTTATTATATTATTGTTACCTTATAGACTCAAGAGACACATTTTGCATGATTTTGTGGCCACATTTCTCCCCATCTTTTTCCACAACAAATTCCGTTTTCTTTTCCACTTCTGTGTAATTAAAGTTTTTCCAAATGTCGTTTCTTCTTTTTCTCCCAATGACAAACCCGGTCTGGCCGGCCATCAATCCCTTTCTCTGTGTCAGACTTAACTTTGTTTGTTGTCATCTTCTCAATAATGCCGCGAGTGGTGGCTAAGGAAGTGATGTCACCTGCGTCTGCGCAGTGCGACGCGTCTGATGTGGCCCCTGAATCTGATTTTATTTTCTTCAATTTGTGTTTTTAATATTTGTCTGTCTTGATGGTATCTTGGGCATTCCCTAAATACAATATTGTTTCTTTCCTAACCTTGCCACAATGACCACATCTTCCAGGATTACGTTTATTCATTAAAAACTAGATACTGTACTCCTATTTCATTTTGTATGTCCATATATCAATCTCAAAGTGATTTATTTCTCTAGATTCAACCTGCTAGCAGGCCTAGCCTATTTCTACTCCTGCCCACTTCTAAAATCCTCAGGATCCACTAGCGCACCACAATACATTTTGATAAATATTTAACGAGGGCATGGAGCAGGGTGTTGACAAATGGGGTAAAGTTAAAAGTATCAAAGAGGCAGATGGCAATACTACTTAAAAGCAAATTTAGGTGGAAGTACATGACTATATTACACCCACATACTATACTGCTTAAGTCCACAGGAAAAGAAACTGAAAGTACAGTGGCCTGAGTTTTATTTTCCAATTTCAAGGGCATTTAAGGGTATTACTAATTTATGTCTGTGTTGCATCTGCCACAATGCCCATAGCCTTTTGTTTGATTGATGTTCATTTGTGCTTGTGTGAATATGTGCTATTTACTAATTGATTATAGTGAGGCTATAGCATGGAAGATGGTCGGTAGTTTATTGTTTGCACAAGCAACTGGTTGCCCTTTTATAGGAAATGAATTATGGGATGAGGACCCGGTAGTATGGTCTGCACCCAGGTCTGGTAGTATGTTGTTCCACCACTAATCAAAAGTAAAAATATTTAGAGCAGAAAAATGTGCCCCGTGAGTGTTATGCAATTATTGTTAGGTATTATTTTATTAATATTATTTATTATTACTGATTCATTAAAGTGAAAAGTAGCATTTTACTCTTTTAGTTGGTCAAGTTGGAGCAAATTTGAACAATTTTACAAACTTTGTTTCAGCTATAGCTATATTATCACCTTTTTATTGTATGTTTTATTTGTAAAATCTTAGTTTGTTGTAGCTGTAACTGTGAAAATAATATAGTGGAGTAAAAAAGTAAAATATTTACCTCTGAATTTAGTTTAGTAGATGTAGAAAGTATGGCAACGACCAGATGAAATACAAGTACCCCAAATACAGTATGTACTTAAGTACAGAATTTGGGCAAGTGGTTTGTTACCATACATGCATCCCTACTAAATAATGTGAAGGGGGTGAAGTTATGTAAATCTTGCATAAAAAGGTTCATTTTAAGTGAATTCCTGCAGCTAAGGCAAAACAATAACCAATGTGTAAAAACACAACACAAACACAAGTTTATGGTGATTTGTGGTTGAAGATAATATTGCCATGTGGCCGTTTCTAAGCCTCAGCACTCAGAAAGCATATGAATGTAACACCAGTCTTTTATAAATTAACCAGTCTTTCACATGAAGAAAGGAATGCAGCTGGGTTACTTGTTACAGGGAGGGACAGACAGGCTGCAACAGCTGTCTCGCTGTAGTTGGAGTCATTTCTTTATCACAATACATCATGGTAGTTACTGTTTTAAGAGTTCTGTCCAGTCTTGTGTGTGTCTTGTGTGTGATCCTGCTTCCAGCTGTGTGGGGTGAGTTTTATTTTGGTATTTATGTAATAGGCTTAATGTTGTAGGGACTTTGGTTAGTCATATGCTGACAGTCACCAAGGGAAATCAAAATGATCCGGTCAAGTCAGTTAATAATTAGGTGTCACAGTTTAATAATTACAAATTGATTTTACTTCTCATTGGGACTAGTGGCAGTGACAATTATTTTGAACTAGTGTACACATGTACTGTGTGGTTACACACCACTAAAAGTGCCCTAGTTTTGCTTCATGTTGTACTGCAACTCCTTATTTTGAACTACTGTGCACATGTACTGTATGGTTACACACCACTGAAAGTGCCCTAGTTTTGCTTCACGTTGTACTGCAACTCCTTAATCTCTCACCCTCACTACTCTTCATCATGACCCATGCATTTCAGGTCGTAAAACTGATTACTGTAGCAGCTACTGGGACCAGGATGGGTTCTTCTATGACACTATCGACTGTGGCTTTGAATACTGCTGTGGAGACTGCAACAAAAAATACTGCTGCAGTGAGAAGAAATACCAAATAACTCAAGAACAACAAAAGGGCTGTGCTGCAGGGTGTGCTCCTGTTTTGAACTTGTGTTTCTTGCTCAGTGATACAATGTGTAAATAAATGAATGAATGGATGATTAAATAAACAAATAAATAAAGTTACAGATGCAAATGTCTTATCATTATACTCCGTTAATTGCTGTGTTCATTTTCCGCAGACCTAAAGTCAACATTTCTATGATTTTGGGGATCATCTTCGGGTGTGTTGTCCCCATTATCTTCTGTGTGGCTCTCGTCATCTGCTGTGTGGCCCCTTGCTGCTTGCTCTACAAGAGGTGTAAAGAACGACGCAACCCAAGGCCCCACAGTAAAGTTTTGGTTATAGTTTATTCATCTTATTTTACAAGAGCTATTGTGTTTGTGTATGTGTGGCTTCACTTGATAACGAACTGTTGCATTAAGTCACACAACAAGATCTACTACTTTAGGCATTTTCTCTGCTGTGACTACAAGGTTAGCACTAGGGCTAAGACTTTGGAATAATGTGGGAACACTCCCAGGGCGGGTTAAAGGGTGTTTTTCCTGTTCCTCCCCTTATATCAACATTGCTTGAATGTAGCAACAGCACAACTGATTGCCTGATGAACAGTACAACAAAATAACAAAATCTACCAGCAGCTATAAAGCTCATTTATAGCTTTCTTTTCATTTATTTAATGTCTACAACAACAAACCACTGTTTTACAAGCAGTTTTGAGTCACATACTATCTTGGCCAGGACCAGCTGTTGGTAAACCAGCGAAGACGTCAAGAACGTCCCACCAAGACAGTCTGGCACATAATTGCCTGTGAAACTGCAATTTGTTATTTTTTTACACTTTGATTTTGTGCAGACTAAACAACTGAAATACAAACTGTAATTAGTGAACTTTAGAGGTGCTGGTTTTGTTACCTTTGGGGTGAGTCAGTCAACTCTCAGCAAGAAAGCAAACATTGTACTTTCTTTTCTGAAATGTCAAACCTTTCCTTTAAACAAAAGTCAAATGTTTCAGATGTTTCAGTGTAGTGCTCTTGGTATATCAGTGGGTGTTTTTTCACACTTTGTTTGAGTCAGCAAACAAATGACAGATTTCAAACTAAACTGAATCTATGAAATTATCCAGCTGTGATAAGCACCACCGCTGTAGTCGGCGTTCCCCAGCAACCGCTGCCCCCCTCTGGACATCAGCTGTCCTACCCAGGCTACCAGCCTGTTCCTGTCCAGCCCGGATATGAAGACCCATCCCATGCTACAGCACCACCACCTTCATACTTGGAAGCTAGTGAGTTCACTTACTTGCTAATGAACCAAATCTGCACTAATGAACAGCTGAAAATAGCTCTCAACAAACACAGTTTACTGCTGATAAATAAGCCTGTTGTTTCCCATTGAAAGACATCTTCAGTAGAAAAGTGTAGGCACAGAAAAAAAATTATTATATATAATATAAATAACAATTAATAATAATTGGGCATTGTACATACACATTGAGAACTACTGTACCACAGTTCAATTCCTCATGTGTCCGACACACCTACGTAGTCAGTAAAGCTGATTCTGATTCTGAAAGCAAAACAGTTTTTCTGTAGCAGCAAACTAAAACATTTGTTTTTGTCTTTTTAGTTGATCCAGCTCACTTTCCAGGTCCATTCACTCAGGGACACCCCACCCAACCTCTGGGCCCGCCTCATGCACCTTCACCACATTTAGAAGAACTTGCACAGCCACCCTACAACCCATCTTATGGCCTACACCCCTAAACTGGATAGTTTAGTAGATAAATACTACTATATTACTAAACACTACAGTGTGAAGCCTCATATTTAACATCATATATGAAAGACATTGTTCATAAAAGTATAGATTCCTCCTGCATAAACTATGACTCAGTCTTTCTTTTTTAATAGACTGAAAGTGCCACTAGGGGTCGCCTCTGTCCTACTTTAACAGTATACCCACTGATGCAAGATGCTGCATACTGGTGCTATACAATGTTATTAAGCATATTGTTTTAAATGTAGCACAATAAACCTATGATTATGATTAAAATACAGTCTCATTATGATCAAGCAGATTGCCTATTCTTGATAGATTGCTCATGACTGTATTTTACCTGGCTGGTTGTCCTGTTTCATTTTCAGCAGGTAATTTAACAGGCTTATGTACAGTAGATGAATACCATTAAACTTCAAGTCTGATGGATACAATGGGAAAACACCAGGCCATCATCTGATCCCTGTAATTATTGTAATATGATTGTATTGTTCTCAAAAACTGCACAGTGAAGCCACATAGATCTTCAAACACTGAAAACGAGTTTTTGCTTCTTTATCCAAACTAAGGGATACTCAGATTATTAGAATTTACTTTTTATGCTGTTATCCTAAACCTGTTTTGGCTCTGTGATTGTACTGTAAGAATCTGATGCAGTGAGAATAACATAAAGTTAAAAACAGCTGGTGATTTTCATTAGTTTATAGTATTGTCAGATACATATACTACAGTGTTAGTTGATAATGGAATAACTGCTTGTTGTCATGCTCCATTCACACTAGTGCTTTCACTTGGACTGCATGCATGTGTGCAGACTGAACATGATTTACTTTTCCTTGAGGGCAGCTGCTCATTTAGGTGATCATTTTGTGTTTGTTCATTATGATGAGCAACTTATTTCACATTGTCACTTTGTTTTCACATTGTCATATGATTATTATCATACAAATATCATGGTATAAAAATCATTTAGTAGCTCATCTCAGAGGTCAGAAGAGTAAACTCTGAAAGTTTTCCCTTGATGCTAACTACATAGGGATTCAGTGTGTAGCCAGTTAACCAAGCCAGTTCTGCCAGACTAATTACTTTCATTCACATTCATATGGCATTATTTTTTGTTAACATATGTAAACAAAAAATTACAAAACCTGTATTAACCTGTTTGATTTATATAAGTACAAAATGTACCACTATCATTGACTTCTTATTGCAGACATACACTGCTTATGTAAAATTGTCAGCGTTTTTCTATGGAGGCAACATTACTGCAGAAATATTATGTATTAGAAAACAAAATGTTGACATCTGTGACACATGCACTTCATTACACCACAGAGACATTAACAGTTTGATGCCAATAGCCATGTGTCTTTTTGCTGATTTTGATGAGAAGGTGTTTTTTTTTTTTTTTTTTGGGACATTTTATCGTTTGACATCAGATGGTGATCCTAATTATTGTATGAAGAATTTTAAGAACACAACATGCTTTGGATCTTTACACACTTTTGTTGTTTGTGTCACCCATTCTCAGAACTGGACTTTTGTTTCTAGGAATTCATCAAAGAATCAGAGAAAAACTTGATTCGCAAGCTTGCTTCCAACACTGTTTTACTGTAATATATGTGTGTGCGTAGAAGTGACTCATTTACTGCTTGCAAACCAATGATGGTAAGATGATGTCAGGGGGTAGGACTGGATAAGTCTGACGTCTTCCTACTCCATTCAAGCATGTACTAGGTATAAGCAAATTGATATTGGATTATGTGTAAAATTATGTGTGTTGTCATATCAACTGTTTTACATGCTTGAAAGAATAAATCAAATAAAATCAAATCAAATCAAAAATCAAATCAAAATTAAAGCATAATGTTATAACTAAAAATTATCACCTAGCAGTGACAAAACCACTGTACTCAGTTTAGTTTGTTCCTTTGGGATCATGTAGCTAAATAGCCAGCCTGGGGTGTATTTGTATTTCATTCCATAATACCCAGCACTCCCTGTTATAGCATCCCACACTATCCATTAATCAATACAGTAAGAGTGCTGACTGCGGCAGCCTCAGTCATTGACGTGGTGGGGGGCTAAAACAGGAAAAACCCTGACCCTGCTTGTATATACTGCTGCTGCTGCTGCCTGCCTGCTGTCTAAAATAAGCTCTCTCCTTGAAGTGTGGCTCAGACTGCTAATGAGCACTTGTGCAGAAATGCCACAGTCATGGGCAAAGTGGCAGATAATCTTTACAGCCAGCAATCACTACTGCTTTCTGCCTCTATATCCTCTTCTTCTTCTCCTTTTCCCTCCCTCTGTCTCTCCCTCTGATTGTCTTTTGTTCTGTATGAAGGCATTCTTGTCTGGCCTCCTGCCCGAGCTTCCATTAAAATGTTGTCAGCGTTTTCTCCACATCCCACACCATTCTCTCTTCTTTTTCCTTTTCTTCTGCTCTGTGGAATTATCTGTAGTATTTACTGTGTATCTCACACCGGAGCTGCCTGACACATAAATAGCGGACAGGGGACACGCTGTGTTATTGGATATCAGTTTGAAACCCATCTTTTAATCAACTTTCAGATAATAATATCTGGGACTCTGCAGTGAAACTATGAGCTGTGTGGGAGGAGTGTGTGCTCTCATTCTGACCAAGACAAGCCAAAGACATACAGACATGCTGACCTTCTCCTAATGCACGGAAACACAAGCAGACTTTATTTATGTGTTAATGTTTTAAAATCTCTTCTAATACTAAGGCGTAATAACACATTTTCAGTATTATTTATATTGTGATATTTAATATCTTTTGATTACTCAGGATGAGTGGTAGCAAATTAACAACATGGCTCCAGGGATGACAATGTGGGTTGGCTGAAACTACTGCAAATACTTTGGTCTAGGCTGAAATATCTCATCCAATAATGGCAACTACTGAATCAACTGCCGTGAGAGTTTGAACAGGTTTTGTTGCTCAGAGGATGAATCCAACCTTCTTTCATGATCCTTTGACTCCTAGCACCCTTAGCGGGTTCGTATTTTTGGTTTTCAGTAAAATGTCTAGATAAGTGATGAATGGATTGTCATAAAATTTGCTTCTGATATTCACATCGCCCTCAAGATTAAATGCAACAACTTTGTTAATCTTCTAATTTTTCATCGAGTGCCAGCAGATGAAAAAAAATGTCCAGTGTTTTGGTGTTTGAGACCAGGCGCTGATCCATGATGCCAGCTAGATCACCCTCAGGATTTCACCCTCATCCTTCCAGGAACCCGATGTGTGGAGACATCAATGATACTGTCCAGAGACACTAATCTTTAGGTCTGATTTAATCCCCTTTAAAGTGCCGGTTTTACAAAGGGCCTTTGCTGCTTCATTGCCAATTCTCAAAGCTAACTTCTCAGGTGAATCTTCAGGCACTGAGGTCACACCAGGTAAGACCAGCACCTGGTTTAGTCAACTGGAGGCTCTTTGAAAACAACAACAAAAATCTGGGATACTTCTTGTATCATTGGCCAGTGTCCACCAATGACAAGTTAAGTTATGTTCCAATAAATCAGCCCCTCCTCTCCTTTGATTAGTTTGACTGATCTTGAAAGGGGCCTACAGTCAGTAGGCTCTGCTTGACCCGCAATGACTGAAATCTGATCACATTCAACACTTCCTGGAGAAGAAGCTTACTATACCAACATTTAAACCCATGATCAGTTGTGTACTGTATACCCCTGAAAAATAAACACTGGACTAGTGTTATGATGACTGGGCAGGTTGTAGGGTTAAAACTATTGCTTGTTTTTTTTATGTCTACCACTTATTTTCTTAAATTTTGGAAATACTTGTCATATTGTTTTAGAATCCAGTGTGACATCTTCCTGTGTCTTGTTCAGTTTGCTGCTATATAACAGAGACAAGTAGAAAATCCTTGTTTTGGGAAAGCTAGAACCCAAAATTGCAATTTTTGCTTAAAAATCACTGAAGTGAGTTTTTGAGTAGCGAACTATTTACAGATTGATGTGTGGTTTGATCAACCCATTTCTGTTGACAACCAAAATGACACTAACACATTAAGTGGGAAGTTAACTTAGACAAACAACAAGAATTGTAGGCTTTGCTGAAAATGTTGTATTTCAGAATTATAGGCTTTGCTGAAAATGTTGTATTTCACTTGTTTGTGTCACTGGTGTGCAGCTGTTGTGCATGAGGTTCATTGTGTGGAACAGTTGAGGTGATGCACTGACAGCTGCACACAGATTGGCTCAAGAGAAACAGATATCAGCTGGTTAAAACAGCAGCTGTGGTTGTTGTCGCCCAGCATGGACACAAAGCAGAAAGAGAATAAGTGGGATAGATACAGTAGCTGGTGGACAATGTATGGAAATGTCATTGATTCAAAGCACTTATAATTCAGATCAGCAAATAGAGAAATATATTTCAGATATTTGGCTGGAATCCTGCAATTTTTCTGATTACGTCTCTGTTAACTTCCCCTCTGCCACAACATATTTATTTCTCACACTGTCTTTTCAGAAGAGCTAAAGGTCTGTAATAATTTTTCCTGGGTCACTGTGTACATTTCAGCCCATTTTGTTTCCTGGATTCATTCCAGATTGCTGCCATCAGAAGCCAAATCCTTTCAAGCTTACAGTCTGAGAATAAAAAAAACTTTTTTTTTTTAAAATCCACTAGCTTTCTAACTTTTAACTTTGTGCCTCAGTTTTCTCCCTCTTGTATACTCATCACATCTACAAGCACCTGCAGCAGTGAGTGGCCACCGATGGAGGCAGTCTGGACTGTGTGAACTAGATAAAACTGTCCGCTGTCTTTTTACCCTCTCTCTCTCTGTGTCTATTCAATAGCCTCCAAGTATCTTGACAACCTTGCCTGGTATTTTGGCAGCAGTCCCTTGAGTGTTGATGTCAGCTGAGAGAAACGAAGGAGGATGGTGGAGGGACTGAAAGAGAGAGGGGAGGGGGAGGAGCGAGCGGGCTATTCAAGGCACTTGTCCTCTGTCTCCCTCTGAGCATAGAAGAGGGGGAGGCGCACACACATTGAGAGGAACACACACATACTAGTAGCAGCCACATTTTCACAGCTCTTCAGAGTGACAGCAGCAAACGGAGTAGAGAGCCAGCACGGCAGAGCGAGGGAGGAAGAGAAACAGGATTGGAATCAAGGGAGGCATCCACAGAGGAGAGGAAAGAAGACAGGACTTGAACAAGATTTGCTCCCCCCAAACCCTTTTTTTACCTCTTTTAGCTCTCAGGGAGCCATAAAAGGACTCTGCCCTGTACTCTTCTTGAACTGAACTTGCTCTGCTAAAGGACCTGCACCTTGCTATGGCAGCCCGAGTAGGACATGGGAACACTGTCTCCCTATCATCTTGCTCCTCTCATCACTGGACTACCCTCCTCTGGGTGCTGCTGACCCTTTTAATCCAAGTTTGGGGTTTTAACCTGGATACTACTCACACTCTGCATAAGCTGGGAGACCGTGGCACCTTTTTTGGTTTCTCTCTAGCACTTCACCAGCAGCGTACCCCAGAGCCTCAGAGTTGGTGAGTGGGTGAATGCGGCACTCAGTTTATCCTGTGTGTCCTTTTGACTCAGTTCAAACTGTATCTGCACCTTGTTCCCATACAAAATGCTCCCTACACCATAAATATTTTCAGGGCAGTTAAAAGCCAGAATTGTTGTATGGCTACTATAGTCTTACACCAGCCCCCAGATCTGCTAAATCATTGCTACACTTAAAGCTCTCAACTGGGTGCAGGAGTTTTAGTGTGTTTGTGTGGGGCATGTACAGTAAGAGTACCTTGAGCTCTCAGTTAATAGATGATGATGTACAGTAAGTGGAGAGTGGATGAGAATAGGTCTGCATTATCTGCTGGCAGAACATGTTTTTTGAGTGATTTTCTTAGAGTTTGTGTCTTTTTCTGGGACATAACACTATTCGAGGACAGGAAATATTAAAGTGCCCTATAATGTGTAGGGCTGTGTATTCATGGATGAGCTGTACATGTGTGTTTGCTTGTACAGCTGTTCTTGTTCTCTGATCCATCGTTTGCTGTCTTTCTGTGTGACTGGGAAAAAGCCATGTTCCCATCCTGCAGGGATACAGGTCTATTTGTACATTTTTGGAGGTGTTTATTGTATGACTATAAATAAAAGGTAATCTCTGATCAGTTTTTCTGATCAATACTGAAGAAAGATGATGCAGAGCTGCAGATGTTTAATCTGGTTAGGTGGTTGAGTGAACTTTTTATAAAACATCCATTTCATTAAAATGATTTTTTTTTTTCTCAACAAATTCACTTGGCACGTAATGGACGCCTCTGCACACTAACAATTTCGAGACAATTTGTTAAACATTTCCTTTTAATATTAACACACTGCAAAGAAATGATAATATGATGATATGTTAATGTAACCAGTGGTGGAAGTATTCAAATCCTTTACTTAAGCAAAAGTAGCAGTGCAATGTGAAAATATTCCATCTCATGTAACAACCATGCATTTAAAATCTTGTGTAGAAATATTACAATCAAAAAATAGTCACAGGATCAAAAGTAAAACTACTTTTTGTGCTGAAATGGGTCCTTGTGGGTATTGGAGAATGTGACTGTATATATTGTAATGTTGACTGCTGTAATTGGTTGTAGTGGAGCTACTCTTTATGATTATACCTATATTTTTATATAATATCTGCAGACTCGTAACTAAAGCTGTTAGATATGAGCGAAAAGTGTTTCTCTCTGAAATACAGTTTAGTAGAAGTAGCATAAATGAAATACTCAAGTAAAGTACAAATACTTTACATGTACTTAAGTATTTTCACCTCTGCATATAACAAAAGCAACACTGATGTATGGTATTCAAAATGAAATGAATAAGAAGTTAACATACTATATGTTCCTGTTTTTGGAGCTCCAGTTTTAACTGTTTGCTTCTCAGTTTACCTAGGCTGGAGTCATCCTGTCGCCTGGTAAGAACAGGGAATGACATCAGCATTCATACAGACAGTCAGTCGGCGAGGAGCGAAAGCCATGTCATGCCTCTGAAACCTGGTCACTGGCCAGCAGCAGTATTCCTGAAACTTATTTTAAAAACTGACTATGAGCTCAAAGTATTGACTATCTCACTGCTTTGGTCTGTTATACAGTGCAGCAGAGGGAACACTCCTAAGAAACAGTCCCTGCCACATGAGTAGTGCCAGAAAAATAATGTCAGTAGTGTCAATAAACTCAAGTCTGACCAGATGTGCTCATGTGATGCCTTTACTGGAATAGAGTATAGAGTATGAATAATACTGTTGCCAGTATTTGATTTGAATTGATTTATTCTTTCAAGCATGTAAAGACAGTTGATATGTCAACACACATAATTTTACACATATCCAACAAATGCTAATCCAATATCAATTTGCGTATACCTAGTACATGCTTGAATGGAGTAGGAAGAAGTCAGACTTATCCAGTCCTACCCCATGACATCATCTCGGCATACTGGTCCTCGGCATGCTGGTCATAGGTCCTGGATTCTGGTTCCGAGGACGGGTCACTAGTCAGTCATACCGCAAGAACGCGATGTCTCCCCTCGCCCTGGCCTCCCTTAACATCGGCATCAACTCCCTACTTCTCATGCTGTGACAGTGCACTTACTTAATGCATAGATGACTTTATGATGACTCCATCCCTTGGATGACTTGCAGTGCTGTAGCCAGGATATTAGAAATACAAAGCTGGATCCGAGTTCCTCATCCCAAGGAATAAATAGAAAAGACACCAATAATTTCAGAAAGTTTACATTTTTTTAAAACAATTCGGATGTTTTCAAATATTTATAATTTTTTTATATCATGTTGTATTGGAACTGAATTTCCCAATATAAAGATTTGAACAAAAGGCTTTGAATTAAAAGCCTTTTGTCAGTTGTCATTTGATATATTGTTATTACAAAAGTACTGATTAATAATGACAATTAATCATGATTTTGGAAAGTGGAATGTAAATTTGCAGGTTGCTCACACCACATATTTCTAAAAAAAGGTACAGAAATTAGAACCTTTGCATCCTCAATTGTAGCCACCTCGATGATGACTTCGTCACCACTGTGGACTGCACTTTCAGGTTGAGAAATATATTATTCAATTCCATCAACACAACAACAGCCTTTCTTGTCTGAATAATACATTTCCATTAAGCTTTATGACAGTGTCTTTCTGTGTTGGTGAAGTTCATATCAGTGATTTTAGTTTCTAGCTGCACCCATTGTTATCTCTGTTCATAACATCTCCTCTTCTGATGTACTGTCTTGAAAGTATTTGTTTGAAACCTTTGTATTATGAGGTTTTGTGTTACTGTCGCCTGTAGCCATAATGTGTTGGTCATTGTGCTCATTGTGCCTCATGCCACTCGATTCAATGGTGAAAATGATATCACAGCTTTGATGTGCTGTCCTGCGCTTACTCATGATTGTGTCATATCACTCATATGCTAGTTCTAATACAGTACTTACGGTATCTGTCAGGATTATGTAATGAATGTCTTTTAGTTCAGTTTTACAGGATCTCCAGACCCTGTGCTGTATGGCACCAAAGGCCACAGTATCTCATACAGAATGATGTGCTGTAAGAGGACACATGCTAGGAGACATGCTGGGAGGCATACGCGCCTCGAGCTGGCATCCTAGACTTCTATAAACTTTATTTTTCTTGGTTGTTGTTGTTGTAGTCCTGAAGCGGAGCAGAGGGGGTTGCTGTTGATGCCAGTCAGAGAATGAGAGGGTTTTGAGTCTAAGTTATGTGCCTGCTATTTATACGGCTATGAGAAGTGCTTCTGTTAATAGCTGACTGTCTGGTGAAGACCGGAAGCCCAATTGAAAGATACTGCCCAGTCCTTTTCAACCAGGAACTCAGAGAGATGGAGCGGACCACTTGAGTATATAAAAAATATAACCGTGCTGGTTTTCCACTGTCAATCTTCCTGAAAAAAAAAGCTACTGCACTAAGGGTGTTTTCAAACCTAAGTTGTTTAATCCAGTTTAATCAGCCATAGTCATACTACAGTACTTTGCAACCAAATTTGCTAAAAAACAATAATAATGGATATCTGAGTGCTATTTTTCTCCAGAGTTGCACATGTGAGCGTTAAAAAATGCTGATCTTGCTCAACATAGAGCATATATTACATTTCAGTGCTTCTTAATTTCAGTGGACTTCTGTGATACATCCATAGTTTTGTGCCAAGTTGGATATATCAGAACTTTTTTAAAAATTTGATTTTCCCAGTTGTAGTTATGGTTTGGATAATGACAAGTGGGAAACAGGTAAATGTGATACAGTAACTGATATGAAAAGGACAACAACACTTTCTGCTAAAGCTAATGGCAGCATGCTAAGACCATACAGACAAAAATAGCACAAAATTAGCAGGGATTAAAGGAAAAGATGTTAGTTTAGCATATTTAGCATAATAAAATGTCTAACCTGATGATAGCACTAGAATAAAAGTTAAAGGAATGTCCAAAATAATACATTTTTTCCTGAAGGGACACAGATGTCCAAACCTAACCCTCATGCTCCATGGCATCAGATGAAAAGTCTGGGGTTCACTAAAGTCACTAAGATTCATCTTCTGGGCACAATGAATGTCTGTGCCATAGGGCAAAAAACGTGATATTTGTTGGGATATTTCGGTCTAGACCAAAGTGGTGGACCAACAGGTTTCCCCGAGTTGGCCTGTTAGTGTGGCTAAAGACACTGTGCTATACTTCTGATAGTCTATGTTCAGGATTAGCTGAGTCTACATGCTGCAAGCTTTTAATGTCATGCATTAGTTTAGACCCATGACACATAGTATGAAGCATTATGCATAGATGCAGAATGTATAGATTTATAGATGTATGAATATTTTGTTCACTGCCACAGACTTGTAAATCACATTATATCGAATATAAAAGCTTGTCAGCCATAGTTTCATTTCATTTCTTTATATTGATCTCTGCCTTATGATTTAATGTACAGATTTTTTTCTCCCTTAGAGTGCTTTGACAAAGATGGGGGAAGGCAGCTCTGATTGCTGCTATGATGTAGGTCACAACCAATATATAATTATAATTATAATTTCTCGCTGAATGATCTTGATATGGCCTTGAAAGACATCTACTGTATTATGCTTTATCTTTACTCTGGCCAGGTTATTAGTTCCCCTTTTGTGTTGCTGTATATTTCATTTCATGGAAGTAATTTCCTTTTCTGAACACTTTTTCTTTGAATACATGTTAATCAATGTCTTTTTCCCTCTAAACCCTGCTAATCTGATTTTGGGAACAGTATAGCGTCAAGTCATTGTGATTGACTGTGATTTATCTGACTGTCTGTTGATTTAGTAAACGTGACTGTGCTGCATTACTGTCATGGAGAAAGTAAAAAGTTTCAGGTTGCAATGAGGTTCATGCTAACAATAGACTTGATTTGGTGTCTTTCTGAACAGAAGTAATTAGTCTTACTGGTAGTGGGTCCACAAGTAGCTGATATAAACCCAGGGATCTTGTCTGG